TACAATATTTTGGGAAATATTAATCGGGATAGACCAAAGTTTATTATTTTCAGTGTGGGCTGTAAAGATAGAGTTCAGCATATCTAAATTTTGATTTTTGATAATTTTCATAACTTGTGCAGGTGACCATTTCTTCCATTCTTCAATTCCAGGTAATACTCTAACATATATATATCCTACATCATCATCTTGAGACCATACCCATTCATAAAAATTATCGATTCCTGAAAATATGCCTAATTTAGATTTTTCTTAGGTTTAAATAATTCGTATTAGTTTTCATTCAATTTTAAAAAATGGATTACGTAATATTACCTATTAGTCGGTTTGGCATAAGGTTTGCTACATGCGTTCTAGCAATATTTTTTATAGCATTTGTTATATCTTCTCCAGATTCTATATTCAATCCTAATTTAACATATCTTTTTATAGAATGTGATATCTAAAAAGAAATAATATGTTATAATTATTCAAAATATAAATAGATATAAAGGTATGTGTATGATGTGAATCAATTGCCGTTTTAGCCTCTCCAGCTTCAAGAAATATCTATTTGCGAGGATGTACGTTATACCATTCATGCCACATACTTATTATTATCATTAATTCTGTACAATGATAGTGTCTGCCATTATCTGACAATATAGTAACCCATTTGGGTTTTCTTTCCATCGTTTGTAGAGCAGCATGCAAAGAGGAGGCTGTAAACCATGCATCTTGTATGTATCATCTGACCAATAATCAAATACATGAACATTTAGTCATTGCAGTGTGATATCTTTTTGATAAATCAAAATACTATGTAAGGTCCAGCCTCACTTGCTATAAAAATCTCTTTTGGTTTCTCGTGCTGTTCTTGGTTGAATTCTCATTTTATAATCAACACTGAATACTGCACCATCAATATCTAATTCGTCTAAATATACTTGAACTTGCTTATTTAGATATGTTTTCCATGTATGATGTGCCATCCAAACAATTATTTTTTTTTGGTAGGTATTTATAGTTTCATGAAATTCTAATGAAAGATTCGCCTTTAATTTTTCAAAAAATCGAAATAATGCTTCATAGTAGATACAAGTATTTGGATGGGTCATCGTGCAGTTATCAAATACATTACTTAAACAATGGCTTATGCAGGAATTATGAAGTGTTTCGCCTACCAAATTTAATATAAATTTCTTAGAATATTCTCAGCGTATATATCGACATAAGGCTTGCAATTCATGAAGTAATGCATTCTAAAAAATTTTTTATAAATTAACTGTTATCTAATCTAATTTTTTATATTATTTTATTGTTATACCTTTAATATATTATTATCAATATGTGCGGAAATTAAAACATTAATATTACTAATGACCTCATATCCACAATCATTACAACTTGCGCAAAGCCCTCCAAGATCATCTTGAAAAAGAAATCGTTTTCTTTCTAGCCTAGTCATAAACACAGTTCTATGCATTCCATTAGGATATTGTTCATGAAATCGATTCCAAAGTGCTGTTTTGTGATCTTGTAAATATAATATTGGTAAACCTGAAGTAGAATAACTTCGATATAAACTTATATTAATATTTTCCTTGTTGGTAAAAAAAATTTTAAACTGATTTATCATTTCTGGTTTGAACTTTAGCCGTTTAACAATTGGTTTCTCTATTGCTGATGCACCAAATCTATTAATTTGTGCATGCTTGTGGGACTTATTGATAATATGATAACCAACCTTTATGAAAAAAAATTGTAATGTTTTACTAATAACAAGCAAATAACACGTATTTATACAACTTATACCTAAATTTGTTTCTAATTCTGTATAGGTAAAATCACATGCGATAATTGATAAAATACGACGCTTTTCATCAAAATTTTTTTTATTATATTTCAAAGCTCGATTAAAACTAGACCAAAATGTTTGTGTTGTATTAGCATATGAATAGAAATACTATTAAGTAATCCTAATTTATAGAAATTTTGTATGGTTATTTTATTTATTTGAGTATTTTCTGATTTACTCCATAATTGATACTTTAAAAAATTAGTTAGTAAATAATAAAGGTTGTAATATACATATACTGTATTATATATATTTATTACCTTTGATTCTTCATGAGACCAAGGTGTGATATTAGTATATCCTGCAGCACGAAGCATTGCTTGCCATGCTCTTAATTCTCTTGGATTAAATTTATATTTAAAAGGATATATATCTTTTAGTTTCAAATGAAGTTCGATTATATTACTGTACTTTTTTCATTAAGCCATGATATAAAAAAATATTGCCAATCTATATTAAAAAGAGTTCTTCATTTAAGGTGATAATCAAAAGGTATTTCATTATGTCAAAATCAGTCCATTCATAAGATAAACAGGTTGGTATATTTTGTTGTTGAAGTAATTGTTGTATTTTTTGATCTGCAAGACCATATAATTGAAAGCCATTAAATTTTTGTATCATTTTAGATTCTTTCCATACAAAATCCCGAGTTGAACTAATAATTGTTCTTTTAATTTGTAAATCTTGATAAATCTCTATAATGCATTTATCATTTTCAATTTTTGATATAAAAAGTGCTGGACGTTTTTCTAATAAATGCATAAGTGATGATTGATACCCATTTCCACTATAATTCCAATCGAGTCTTGTTGATAATACCATATTATATATAAAAATCATAAAGGTTCCAACTTTATATGAAGTAGAATAAAACTCAACATCTTCACATAGTTGTTTTCTTATATTTTTATTATTCTATCTGATAACTTGGAGACCCGAATATTGAGTTTTAGTTTGAAAAACTAACTGATAAACATTCAAAACTACTGCACTAGCACTT